GAGAGAGAGAGAGAGAGAGAGAGAGAGAGAGAGAGAGAGAGAGAGAGAGAGAGAGAGAGAACGCCGGCGTGAAAAGCGACTGCTACAGTTTGCTGCCACATCAAGAGTGTAAAACCTTAGCCTTAGCCTTAGCCCAGCCCCGCCCCCCGCCTACAAGCGCCGTGTCCTTGACACGGTGACGACACGTCGCCGCTGCGCTCCGCTTTTATCAACAATCGCCATGAGGATTCTCCTCCTTCAGGGACGCGGCGGCGGCGGCCTTTTCTTCGGCACCGCGCAGCCCAATTTGGCGTCGTCAGTGCAGCACTGCTGCAGCGCGCAGTGCCCCGCCAGAACGGCACTATATTGTTGTACGTCACGCGCAAAAAAACGAAAATATGTAGGTCACGATTTGATCCCGAGGAGCGGGCGAGCGGAGAGCACCATCAGCCAGGGCGCCCTCAAAACGACTTTTCAACTGCGCCAATCGTGGTCGAGCCGTCCCCCGCGTCCTTCAGCTGGGATTTTCAACGCTGGGAGGCAGCGAACATTTTGATTTGGTTCGGGGTGTGTTTATTTTCTGTCTGCAGAAACCCCATCTTAAACTGCTCAACCAATAGGCCTAGCTGAATGCGGCTACTAATTATTTGGCTAGGCCTAGGTAGATAAAATTTAAGGGGGGTCAGGACAAAATTTTGTCAATTCTAGGGCTCTAAAACCATGTGTCCTGGAGGGATATGGTGAGTGTGGGACTGTCGACAGGGTAAAGCATTTAACTATTGGTATATTGTGACCATTTTCCAGGCTCAAAAAGTATCCTAACTCTCAAGAGTCACCCTGAACGACAATTCTAGTAAAGTGTTACAAAACAGTTAAAAATCTTGCGCGCAAGGTTTCTCGGTTATGGTTTGCACTACAACGCTGAAACTTTTCCTGTAAGTTAGCCATATGAATACCTAAAACTTGTCACAGGATTTTTATTCTCACTTGCTGATTTTTAATGACAAATTTAAGTTTCATGACCAAAATTATGCCGTTTTCACCCCTATAACATTTTTTTAAAAATCAATGGGTAGGAATTTTGAAAAAATCCTGTGACAAGTTGTTGAAAATACTGTAAAAATGAAGCCTGCAAAGTTTCATAGCTGTGGCGTTAAGGGTGTAGGAGAAACTCTGCGCGCAAGGTTGAAAAGTAAAGTTCAGAGAAAAACGCATCTAAAGTTGACGTTAATGGGCAATTACAGGTTTGACTCTTCACAAGAAAAAATCCCACGGTCACAATTTTTAGAATTTCTTTACAAACTAAACAGCTATAGACTGAGGAAGAGTCAGAGAACTTTTTAAAAAATAAAACCGAAAATCATTTTTTTTTGTCCTGACCCCCCTTAAGCTACATAGCAAAGGTAGCATTAAAAATGTTATTTTTGCTAACGGTAGCTTAAGTTTGAAAGCTACAGTTACAGCGACAAAGCAGAGTTGTTAGCTACATAGCAAAACAGTCAATTGTCCGTTGTCCATTGTGTTTTTGGTTTGGTTTGGCTAAATGGCTAATCTCTTTTTCCCTGTACACCCCCATACCGCCCGGCAGGTGGGCCAGCCCGCCGCGCACGGCGGCCCAACGGGACTGCCTACCCGCCGGGCTGACCGAGCAGCAGGGGAGCCGGGCGGGTCCACGGCGAAGCGAGGCCCGGCGGGGCGCGGCGCGGTGGGGGGCAGGGCCAACGACCTCGCCCCTGGCCAGCACCGGCACCGCCCCGGCACCGCCCCGGCCTGCTGCGCTTCACATTTCGATACACAAACCTCAGCAGCGCGCGGGCCGCCCTCCCCCCCGGGCGCACAACGCCGCGGTGGACACAATGTTTCATTGTCTTTCCATGTCAAAGTGCGTGGGGACACGACGCTCTGCCGACGCGGCACCGCAGAGCAGCGCGCGGCCATGCGGACAGAGAGAGGGCCGCCAAAAGGCGACTAACTACCAACTTTGCCATGGGAAGCGTTCACGGAAAGGAGAAAATAACAGAGCTGACGGGCGTATTTCACTCGCGGAGGGCTTTCGCGGCGGCGGCCAGTCGTCGGCCGGCATTGTGTTTCGGAGGCGCGACATCTTCAGCTCGCGAGTGACATGGTGTGTCACTGCGGCTGGGCCGAGTCCGCCGGCCGCCCAATATGAAAGAAATGTTCGCACATGTACGATATATTTTGTAATTTGCCATTTGCAAAATGTGTCGTGTGTGTACCAAGCCCCCATCATTCGATTTCAAGTCGAAACGGAGCTTGTACATCTACAATCTTGAATTATTATTGTACAATTGTATACGAAAATAATTTTTGACAGTCGTGCCGCCTCCACCCGAAAGGTAAAGGAGGCACTGGCCGCTCCGCTGGTAGAGAGGGGCATCGCACCAGCGCGGCGCTTCGACTAGAGCAGCCTCTTGTTTAGAACCGAACACAACAACCGGAGCTTCAACGACCCGCGGCGCGCAAGAGCATCGCTCATAGAACGGTAGATGCTTTCGATCTGTATCGGTCCGGCAATCACCTTCTTCTCTCCCCCCTTCTCTTCTCCTCCCGCGCGAGAGGGCTCTCGGGCCCGCCCCGTCCGAGAAGACACGCAGCGCGGACGACGGGCCCGGCAACAGACATCGTGACAATGAAAATGCCCCCCCTAATGCAGATCGGTATCGAGCTCTTCATTGTCGCAATCGCCTGCGCCATCGATACGACGGCACCACAGCCCCATAGCGCAGCGCGTGGGAAAACCGAATCTTTCACAGCGGCGGCGTGGCGTGGCGCGGCAGCGTAGAGTAGCGTAGCGGCTCGTGGGGAGCCTCCCTCCTCCTCGTCGTGGTGCCTGCTGCAGCGGTGCGTACCTGACACTTGGTTGGCGGTGAGGGCGTCGTCGGGCTGCAGCCGCACCTCCATCTGCTTGAGCTTGCTGCTGAGGTCGCGGGTGTGCAGAAACAGGAACAGCGTGGACGACACGGCCACCAGCGCCACCAGCTCGCTCGTCCTGAAAAACCACAAAAAAAGTTTTTTTTTATTATCACTTTTTCTCTTTAGAAAGGGACAGCATTTCTGTAATAGTTTAGTCGTGTAAAAGCGCTACGAGAAGAAGCAACGTGAGTAAATCCTTTGTGGACAGATTTCACTCCCGTTTCTCTCTCTCTCCCTCTCACGCTCCTCCTCGGTGACGGGTTGTCGCGTGCCCCGGCTGCGCTGCTGCCCATCCTCCACTCCCTCCCTTTTGCTTTCTGTGCCGACCCGGGCCCGGCCCGCCCGGCCCGCCCGGGGAAGGGATGGCCGTGTGAAGTAGGTGATCCTGTTTGACGCGTTCCCATGTACCGGCTCCGTGGGGCTCGCACGCTGTTTTCACAGGGCTGCTGTAGCCCACACAGCTGCACCGACGTATTTCAAAACGCGCGCATGTGGCACAATATTTTCATGTGCCAATATCACGGAGTACTTTTCTACTACCCCCTCTCCTCTTGACCATCAAGGGGTCACGCTGCCTCTCGCCGCCAGCGTGAGGCTATCCGGCCTGCCGCCGCCCGCTGGCGGCGAGGCACTCGGTCGTACGGACACGAAAATAAAAGCAGCAGCCGGACGTCCGAGAGAGCGGGAGAGAGAGAGAGAGAGAGAGAGAGAAGAGGGGATAGGGAAGTCCGTCGAACACATAACGGCGTGCAAAGTGAATGCCTGGGAATAAAGAGACCGCCGGCGATGCTGAAGGAAGGAGCGGCATAGCGTGGCGATGGACGATGGACGATGGTCGGATGGATGGATGGATGGATGGATGGATAGATGGATGGGTGGATGGATGGATGGATGGATCAATAGTGTGGTTGGGGAGAGGGGAGAAGGGATGTAAGAGGAGGGCAGTGTGCGGTCACAGTCACTTCTCGACGACACTGATGTCCCGCGCGGTCCTTGCGCCACCGCGAAGAAAACGCATCCGAAACGAGCTAGATGCAAATTCGGGACCATCTTCTTTTTTTTTACGGACCCGTCGCGGGGACGACCCGAACAAAAACGAGTTTCGGGTGACACATAGCAGACCACTGCAACGGTCTCGCGCGCGCAATCGCGAGCATAGCGAGGAGCGAAAGGTTTCGCTATCACAGCGGCATTGGGAACAGACCCAGCGCAGCGTCCTCCTGGCCCATCTCTGTCCCGTGGATCAGGGTACCTACGCTCGGAGCTCGGCTGTGAGCGGCTCTCCGGCCGGCCCGGCCCTGCCCGCCCCCCGCAAGGTCGGCAAGGCCAAGCCCACTACGTCAATATGGATGTACTTTCCCCCTGATGAGGACACAATGCCCGCCTCGATGAGCCCCGCTAGGGCGCCTCGCTAGGAGGGCCCCTAGTACCGAGTACCGTACGGGGACCTTGGCGCGACAATGAGAACCAGCCAGCGGGTACCCCAATGGAAGGATCAAGAGTCACACACAAAAATAAATTTGAAAA